TTTGTTGTTTTGTCTAAGATTTATGCTGGAAACTAAAACTGTGCTGTGAAAGAGATTTAGGTGGAACAGTGAGGCTTTCTGGGCTGGGGAAGCAGGCCAGCTGTGCATGTTTTCTCTTCAAGAATATAATTTAACAAGATGCTAAAGTGGAAGGAGTCAGCTTTTCTTCTCCCACTAACACTGCTTCACGTGCACTGCAATGACATGCAGGACTTGTGAGCGTACAAACAGGGAACCAAGTATTTTCTCCTTTCTTTGGAAGAAAATTTCTGCCTAAAGGATTGCAGGTTTTGTTTTCTAAATGGAATAAATTCTGAGCTGAGTTTTCAAATGCATTTGCACATTTGCTCACTGCAGTTACATTCTGAGTCTTGCAGTATTTTGTTGGTATTTTATTTTGCCCCTTTCCACAGCCCCACAACAGCAGTACATTAAAACCTACCAGTCCAGAGCAACATATAAAAACACAGCCAAAAAGAGGGTGATAGAAAGATCCTGAAGCACATCTGCAGACACTCAGTGTCCAGATTTTTAAGCTATGTAGGCACTTGAAGATGCAGGGATGCATCTGGTAGGGAGTTCAACTCTCAAATCAGTGGCAGGGCACAAACAAGGGTGTAGGCACTCGGCATGCAAATCTCTCCTTGCAGGATTGGGACTTCAGTTCCAAACCAATAAAAGCAGGATGCAGACAGGCTCCTAAAAATCAGGGGGAGCTCCACAGGTCTTCTCCTAAACATAATACCACTATGCATATAAACTCTTGGGGCAGAAGAAGGAAGAAGCGCTGGGCATAGAGAAAGAAGGAAGGACGGGAGAGATTTTCTAAAACTCAGGCCATTTGTAAGAGGAAAAAAAGAGAACTAAGAAACATGTTGGTTTTGAATTGTGTAGGAGCTGTCCCTTGGCTGGGCCCCATGCCTTTAAAAGGCCATGGACCTTGGGACCAGCCAACCCCTTACTGTTAACCCTCTCTGCTGGAAAGGGTCAGATATTGAACAGAGATGGGCTGCTGAAGTAAATACTCAAGCAGAAGAGTTGAAAGAAAGATGCTTCTAAAAGCACTGGTCTAGTATGAGCTGAGGATCTGTGTGGTTTCACACTGTGCTTATATTTGAGTACTGAGAAATAAAACTGCCCTGAAAGAGACTTGGATGTGTCATGGAGCCTTTTCGCAGGCTGAGGAAGCAAACCTGCTTTCTCACAGGCAGGCAAGCAGCTGCACCCCTCGGTGGATAATTTGCTCAATGACTGATGAAGAAGCATGCTGCACAGCTGAGTGTTAGCATTTCACTGGAGTGTTTCGTTTTAAATAGAAAAGCTACACAATGCCAGCCTGGCATGGGAGAAGTTCTCAGTGGAATCTCTCCTGTGGAAAACCAGGGGAGACTTCTTCATGTGGTAGACTTGGTGCTCCGGCATTCTTTTGAATAGTTGCTGCTTATTTTAAAAAGAGGGATTTGGGCTGTTGAATTCTCTGCTGAAATGAGTTTGTATTTTCAGATGGGAAGAAATGATCTAATTCACCTGTTCAGCCAACAGCCTTTCATTGAAAGTGAAGCAAAGCCACATGGTGGAAGGTTGTTTAAAGTGTTCAACGGCTTTACGAGTTAAAAGAAGGGTGTTAAAAGAAGTGGGAGGGCTGTAAGCGAGTAAAGCAGAGACAGGGAACCCAGTTTCCTAATAAGACGCCATGTTTGTAGTATTATTAGGCATACTTTGTGAGACATAAGGAAGCTATTAAAAGCATGTGACATATGGGGATTTTTGTCAGCAGAAAAGGACACAACAGCCCTCGCTAGGAAGCGAGCAGTGCAGATGTTGGCTACAGGAGAGTCTTCTGAATTAGATACAGATTGAGTACCGTACTGTAGCATTGAGAGTACAGTCCTTGCTTTGCATAGTGCCCATCTAGCCTAAATTTAACTCCTGTAACATTTTCTATGCTAATTTGTTAGCTGTTCTATAACCTCTTCATGGGTAACTGTTCTGGCTGCTACAGAAGGATCATACAATCAATCTGATTTTTCCTGTTTATTGTATTTCATAGTCTGGGAAACAGGGGAGTAGGTTTAAGGCAATTTGATTGTGCTGTACGTCATGGTGTTGTGTCCTTTACATAAATTCTCTGACTTCTACCAGTCAAAAGTTTTTCTTGTTTTTTTCAGTCTGTCTGATAAATGGAAAAGTGCTTTGTTGAGATGCATAGCTGAATAGAGAACAGGGTAATGAATAAGAGCCCTTGAACATCCCAGATGATTTTTCTTTATTTCTAAGAAAATATGGTATTATCACATTTCTTTTTAAACCACAGCTCATTTATTATCTGCTACAGTTATTAATAGCTTTACTAAATAATTCATTGTGTGAAATTAATTTTCAAGAAAACTACAGATCTGAAAAACCATCTGTAAACATTGTCTTCAAATGTCATTATTTCTTTCACTGCATGAGTGAAAAAAGAAGTTTTCAAAATTTGTTCCTGTCTTTTAGCTAGGTTCCAAACTAGTTCCTATATAAGTAGTTGCAGATGCTTGCCTTGTTCTCCTTAAGTAGCCTTTAACAATTCTTGCAACCTGTGTTAAGCCTTTGCTGAAAAGCACTGTGGCTTTGTGTTGCTAATCACTAATTTCTGGTGCATGAAGTCTCAACTCTAGATATTACTATGTTGAACCACATGTCCTGTAATTTCCTCCTGAATCTTTTCCTAAGTTAACTTGTATTTTTGTTTCCTTTGCAAAGTGAGAGGGCTTAGAAAAGGGCCTGATGATGTTTCCTCGCGACTACCATGTGTCCTCCTGTGATTTCTCTTAAATGTTTTCTGACCTTCAGAGCTGATCATAAAAAGGCTTTCATAATTTTACAGTCACTTCTGATTCTTTTTCCAGTTCTACACTTTGTGTCTAAATGCGGTGATTGTGACTGTCAGCTTCTGATTAATGGTTTCTAAAGCCAGGGATTGTGCTGTCAGACAGGTTGAATCTGATTTATGAAAACTTCAGCTACAGAGGGAAGACTTAATAATAGTTGGCTTTCCTAGCTCCCCATCAATTGCTTCATCACTTAAGATTAACTTCTGAAGGAAATCATATCAGCAAAGCTGTCTGGCTCTCTTGGTTCAGAGATTTTCATGCGTTTAAATATTTCTTCCCATCTGACCACTTCTTTGAGTCATAAAGTGTTGTTATTATCCTCGCATTGTGGATACTTGTGATTAAAGAGTCCGTAAATGCTTGTATTCCACCTACATAAAGGACGACTACTCTCTTTTTACAGTCCTGTCATCCTGCAATGAGTTGAACGGGGATAGCAGGACTCTTGCATGCTAATAACTGAAGATGCTGCACATTTTTGTGCAATTTGAGTGAGAGCATGAGCTGAAAAGAAAATACAGCAGAGAAAAAGTGACAGTCTGAAAGGGAAAGGAAATGAAGGAGAAGGAACATGAATATTGCAGTATAGGAATAACATTAGGAGGAAAGGATCAACTAAAGGAAGGAATGCTTCCAAGGATGTAAAGACAAATCAACATCAGTTAAAGTGTGAGTAGTTACTCCAGAAAGATCAGCTGGAGACTAGAAGAGACAAAGACTTTGATTAAACTTTGATTAAACTTAGTTTTTCACAGACAAAATACAGTTAGTCCCTGGCCACATTTTTACCCTACAAGACCATGACCTGAGGGCAGTCAAAGTCAAGGACAGGACTGCTGTCTGTTCAGTTGGTCCGTGAGCATAACCAAGCATGACCCCTTCATTCCTGTGCCAATATATTTTTTACCAATTTTCTGCATGAAATCCCAACCTGAGGCATGGCATCCAGTCTGCTTCTCCTTCTGCAGGCACTGTTCCTGCGTCTCCTTCTCTTCTGTTCTGTCTGCCCTCTCCATGGACTCATTTTCCTCACAATTAAACATCTTGGTGTCCCTATTAAGCTATTCTCAGTTACTTCAGTTACATCCTAGTCTTTGTTAAATCCTGATCTTCATAGTTTTGCGACCCTGTTTTTAAGATTCCTTTTGCTTCTCTAGAAACAGTAAAGTTACTTTCTGTCTCATTGGACTACTTTTTTTTTACCACCAGTGTGTCGTAATTTCCACTATTCCTAGGTAATAAAGCAGAAAATAGCATTCTACAAATATTAATAACTACCCATTTTTCTGAGAAGAGAGAAGAGTTATCCCTGCAGCAACCTGGCCAGGAGTTCTTTCCTTCACATGACAGCAGTTGCTTCCTCTTTTAACGATCACTCCTTTACTGAGCCACGCCTGCAGTGCTCACGTTTCAGTCAAAAGATATGTATTATACCAGAATGTCCAACAGCCAGAATGGTTTGAGTACGTAGATTTCCCTATGCCACATGCAGTCCAGTGCTGGCACCAAAAACCTTGTTTTAATTCTGTCCTGAGACACCTGCAGGAGAATGTCTGTATCCATGTAGCTGAACAGTGATGTCTCTGCAAGGAGCAGGTTGCGGCACTGGAAATGAGTGCTAGCATCACTGGGCTTTAGCAATCCTGTGCTCATCCCTTTTCCCTGCCTTTTGGACGCAGTTGATCTGCCTGACCTGACCAGAAATACAACCTGACTAGAAACACTCCCTGGAGATGGTCACCCAGTCTCGTTGGCACCTCCCTCTGGCCCGTACTCACCTTGTGTGCAGCCCAGCAGATGAGCTGTGTCCCAGCTAAGAGTAGCTGCGAGCTAAAGGGCAGGGGTGTCATAACTGGACAGGTTGTGTGGGTGTTTGGCCTGGAGTGATAACTAACAGAATCCATCACACTTTTCTGTGCAGATCTGGACCGCTTTGTGTTCTGTCTGCTGCACCATGCTTTCCCTTCCCGCTGCTTTGGCAGTAGCCCTGTCTCTGCTGCCTCTAGAGACACGGCTGTATGCAGATAGACCTTGGCGTCTCCAGGGGAGGTGTATTTTTTTGTATGATACAAGGTACTCAGCATGATCTGCTGGTGTAAGTATGCATTTTAACACTGCTTCCTCTCCACTCGAAATCAATCATGCTTACCATGACGACTTACTTAGCAACCTTATCAGATCTCTAGTAGCTTACAGTTTTGCTTTGAAGGCATTCACTTTAAATAAAAGAGCTGCTGCTTTTAGAACATGTATTGTAATTTTTCCTGGTCTCTTGTCTTTTTTTGGTAATTCACTGAAATAGATTTGCACAAAAGCAGAATACAAAATACAGTTTTCAAAATATATAGCAATATATCTTCGATTCTTCAGACGTGAGGAATTCTAAATGCTTCATTGTGTAATTCCTTCAAATAATCTTTATTCGAAATAGCCTTAATAATAAATATGCTGAAAATCTCTCAGGTTTGCTGTCAGGAGTTTGTAGGTTTCCCATGCCAGGTGTTCCCTGTAAGTCAGAATAACATGCGTTTCTTTCCCCAGACAGTGAACATTATCTTTGAAAAAATCCCAGAAAATGAGAGTGAAGATGCCTGTCAAACTATCCAAGTTAATGTTCTGGACTGCGACACCATAGGCCAAGCCAAGGAGAAGAGCCTTCAGGCTTTCCTTAATAAGAATGGCTTTCTCTATGGTCTTCAGCTGGATGAAATTGGTCTTGGTAAGAGAGTATCACTGTGTTGTATTTTCATGAAGTTCGCTGGTCTGTCTGTGGAGTTTTCTTTTTAGGAATTCCTACCTTTGGCTTTGATTTTTTTTTTTTGTAGCGTTTATGCAGAACATAGCTTTTGTAAGGAATTTCTGGGGAAATACTAGATCATTTATGCTACCAGTTAGAACATTGGAACTACATCTGCTTCGCTTCTGCAAGGACTTCAGCATGCAGTTAACAAACACGTTATTTTTTGAACACACATAATTCATGTGTTCCTTTTCTGGGTTAACTAAGGTGGCACGTCCACCTAAGTACAGCTAGTTGATAAGTTTTGTCAGTGGGTAAGATGACATATCATGATTACCAAGTACTTTAGTCCCTACCTACTATCCCTCCTACCACCCTTCCTTCCAACACGCCTACATTTTCCCTGATCCCACAAATACAGTTTATTTACAGATGAGGCTTATATAATAGTTCGCATGTGACTCACAAAGATACATACAGTATCTACAGATGTAAATAAAGCCATTCCAGCAGATGAGTCGAGCCATCTTTTCTTGTCGGGTTTTCAAGAGCTCAAGGTCACATAAAAACCTGTAGTTGCCACCATACCACTTCCAATAGGAAATCTAACAAACTCTGCGTTGTTGGCATTTGTCACCTCCCAGACTTGCTCCCGAAGATGTTGATATTTCCTCACCTTCTCAGACGCTATGTCAGCAAGCGATGATAATTTACTTTCATATCTGATGTTTATATCCACCACCAGTGCATGACTACCCTTCACAAATACTATGTCAGTCTTGTACAGCTCATTTTAGTGGTCTCTTAGAAGTGTCTTGTGAAACCAGTCTTGTAGTCCCAATGTGGCCATAACACCAGGGCACGCTTGTGCAACAGAATAGCTAGATTAGGTGAAAGCACCTCCAAAAATTCTGCATTGACCAACACAAAGTGAAGCACCAATAGCCTGCAGTAATGGAAACCACCCAGGCTGTCACTCCAGAAAAGGAATCTGTAGTGTGGGAGTGCAAAACCACTCTCATGTGACCTAGCACAAGGACAGAGAGAAACAGCTCAGTTGGGAGCCAGTGGTCCAAAAATAATTAGGTGTTCTTTTTCTTTACAAACATCTGTACAGTGAGAATGCCATTGGGATGTAATTGTTTTCTGTTGCTATCGTACTGCAGAACTTGTGTCTGAAGAGCAGCAAAGAGAGTTGTTAGACATTGATGGTTCCTCAGAGGTGATGGAGGATGGGATAAGGAAGCTAAATACCATCGGTCATTACGAGGTAAGCAAGGAAGCCATACCAATGAATGGAGAAGCAGTTTCTCCCCAACTCCCAAATGCTGCCTGCACCAGAATTACCTTGATTGATCAAAATCTTGAAGAGATAACTGGGCATCGTCAACAGAAGGAAAGAAATGTGACAGACAACTTTCTTGCCAATGAGTCATGTTTTCTGTTACTTTTCAGAGGGTTGCTTGGTTTAAGCATACCGGGTAAACTGCTGCTTCTGTTGCTATGAACATTGCCTTGAGTCTTTTCTAGTCTCTGCTGCTGAGTTTTTGTTGCACCATGAGCAATTGTTTACCTCTTCCCACCTCATATGTTGATTATCTGAACAGGCGGTAGTGATGCTCGTGAAAGCTCGTTGAGAGTCAGAATAAAAAGGACTGATGAGTTTGCTCGCTCTTCTCTTGAGACCTCCTGTGTCAACCTCCTCCCCTTTTTCTCTCTGTTTCTGCTTCCATCTACTGTCGCCACTTGTGCCATAAGTTTTACCCTCCACTTCCAATTGCACCTGTAAACCAGTTGTTTTCAATGCTGCAATAATCTGTCCATCATTGCAACAACACACAAGGCTGCAAGTGGTGGCAGACCCTTTCTGGGTGTAGCACATAGGAAAAGCATAGCAAGCAGTATTGCCTGTCTAAGGAGTTTCCACTGACCCTAGCCAAAATAGAGGGTGAGAGGCTGGGGTAAAATGTGCAACAGGTGATTGACCTCAGGTGATACAGTAGCTCACATTTTGATGCTTACAGATTGATTTTGGAAATGAGGTTAGTATGCTGAGTGCTTGTAGAGAGCTTTCTTCATGTCTCATTGTTAAATCTGAAAGTCTGGCTCTTAACATGATAATGAATTTTTATTTATTTAGAAGTTTTGCTTGTGAATGTAGGTCTGTGCCATGCAATGCAGAATGGTGCTGAGAAACCTGAGCCAGCCCTGAACACGTTGCTGTCTGCATGAGCAAATACAGTGCCATCCACAGAGAGGAACAAGGACTCCAACAGGACTATTGGTAGCTTGGGCACAGCACAAGGCTGCAGCAAGGTCATTTGGAGTCACTTTACGTATTTCTGGAGGCGTTTGTTGCTCTCCTTACCTCCTGGGCAGACAGCAGTGAACCTAGATGTCCTGAGTCACCATCCAGTGTCTTAAATACAGCTTTTCCTGTGCCTCTCTTGAATGTTGTCTATAGGTGGGACTTCCTCCACTCCTCCTGTAAAGATTTTGTACAAATTAGGACATTGTAGTGTTACTGTCAGAGTCTATGCAGCAAAGGTCAACGTAGATTTGAATCTGATTAGATATTCGAACTTCTGTCTAATATGATAGTACCCATTCTCTTTACTACAGGCAGCTATTGCAAGTGCTTCCTGATTTTACCTGGCAGCTTTTTTCACTTCCTGAGCTCATGGCATGCTATACCTCATGGCAAATGAGTCTGCTCCAGTTGGTCACTGTCATCCCTGGGTATCTTTGTCCCAGCCCTTGTTTTCGTCTGAGGTTTCTGCAGGCAAATGCAAGTTAGGTTGGACATTCAGTTGTTTTTGCAAAGCTGTAACTACACTAATAGCTTAGCAGCTGCCTTATGGAAATTGTGCTGGGTATTTCTGTTAGATATTTTAGTTCACTTTTTCTGACACTGACAAAATAATGTACACTTTAGGCAGAAGCTTAGTGGCATTTTAGGCAGCGGCTTAATGGCAAGCACATCTAGTTTATTTTCTTGTATGCATATTAATGCAAAAAAGGAATGTAAAGGTGTCTAGTTAGCAAGAAAAAGGAACACTGCATACACAATGTGAGGGTCATAACATTGCCTGAGGAATTCCAACTTACATTTCAACAGTGCCCACAGTTTTGTGGCAAGCCTGAAATTTTTTTGTTTGCCAGCCTTAAATGCTAGAAAGTAACCAGATTTTTGAAACTGGGAAGTAGCGTCAAATCTTTTTAAGATGCTGGAGCATGAGGGTTGTGTTGTAAAGGTCCCAGAATCACCAGTCACTCTTGAAAAAGCAGACTTGGTTTCTACACTGATTTTTCAAATGCGCAAGTGGGGGACGTTTGCATTTTTGTGTAGTGTTTCTGAAGGGGAAAAAAATCCACTGCACTCTTATTAGACTTCCATGTGTCTCTGACTTGTGTGCTCCTTTTGCTCTAGTTTTTTGCTCCTGGTAGGGTTATTGATGTGTTTATTTATGAGGTCTGCGCTATTGTTTGCATGAGAATAACCACAAGCCTTGACAAGAAGGTTGCTGATTATCATGATGTCCTATTTCCCATGCAAGAAGAGAGCTAGAGAACTGCTTTCAGATCTGCCGTCCAGTCACCGATCTCCAATTTCTCAACCTGTAGCAGCATCGCACATTCCAGGAGCAGGCACAGTTCCAGAGAACAAATCTGAATGTGTGATCCTGGGAGCTGACTGACGAGAGATGGATTATAGGGAGGACAGGAGGCCTGGAGAACAAGGAAGAGGCGTAGAGCCACACTACTACATCTTCTGTGTTGCAAAGTAGCTGTAGTCTATGTTGTGTGGATCCGAACAGCTCTCCCCTTCCCCTGTTTGTTCCCCTCAGTAACTGACAAAGTAAAGGTGTTTTGAGGTGCCCATGCGAGCAGCCCACCATGCAAAGTGATTTAGGCAGCAGGACACACAAAGAAGGGTGCTTTTTTGTTTGTTTTTTAATTGGATCACTCTGAAAGAAACAGCAAGTATGGCTGGTGCACTAATGATAAAGAAGGGAAGGCATATTCCATTCAATGCTAAAAGCATCATTTGTCCCAGAAATAAAACCTGAAGTGGGGGCTTGGATTATGGCTGCGCTGCACCAACGCCTCTGGTTCCTGGAGGGAAGCACAGTTCTCCCTCCGAGCTCTGCCTGTCTCCCTCAGGACCAGAGCCAACACATTTCAGCATTGAGCTGCTCTCTTGCTTCTTGGAGAGGGAGTGGAGGCAGCGTATTGCCCACGCTGCTCTGGGTGGGGGTAAGCTGCTGGGTAGCCCTGTTCCTGTTTACCTATCTTCAGGGCCAAGTAGGAGGACTCTCTGGGCGTTTGTGTCACCTCACAAGCTAGCCTCAGAGTATATTCCCACTTGTTGTGTGGTTTTGAAGTGCTCTGTGGTGTCTGAAAGAGCTCTGAAACACTGTATGATAAATGGAAACCCTGCAAAAAAATCATACTTCTAAAATAGATTGCATTTACTTTCCAGGAGCAAGTGTAAGTGCAGATTTCTTTGGCGTGAGACAGAGCTTTTGATAGAGTATCTTAATGTTTAAACTGGTTTCTCACACCAGGCTGGCTGCCAAGGTTTAAAAAACACTTAAATTATTTTGGCAGAGATCCCTTCCTAGAACTGGCCAGTTGTTTTTGTAATTATAGAGGGAAGTACACTAGCACTTGGCAAGACCCAACATTTGACTGCAGAGCAGGGGGGTAGTTCTCAGTGGGAGCTGTTTTTGAGTTACTCTTTGACAATAAAAGCATGACTTGCCAGTTTCTTTTAAAGATAATAGTTACCATCCCAGCAGCACTATAAATTCAGGGAATGAGGGGGGAAGATTTTTTCTAGAAATCCCAAGGTAGCTAGATGTGGATCTTAACCTTATGGTCCACAGGGTGTAAATATTTTGCTAAGTTTGAAAATAGTTCTTGGGAGCACCAGGCCAGACCCTCAACATGGCCCCTCCGTAGGGCATGGTGGGAATGGACTGAGCCGGAAGAAAGGGGGCCAGAAGATAAATCATCCTTGTGTTTCCCTCCCTGCCTCACTTTCCCGTAAGATCCTATTGCATTGGAGCCCGAGAATTCAACCTGCGCAATCTGTAGAAAGATGGGTGCAAGAATCAGCACAAAGCAGTACCTGAAAATGAGAATGTCCCAATAGGGATGCAACCAGAGGAATCAAAGAAAGGGAAGGGTCTTAAAGGCTGGTTTGTCGGAAGAGCTGCCTTCCCACCTTGCCAGGCAGGACTAACAAACTGCAGCTGCTGCCCATGCCTGAAAGCCCAGCCCCGGCTGCCTGCTGAGAGCCGTGCACACCGGCACAGCGCGGTGAGAACCAAGCGGGCTGGCACGCTCCTGCGCTGCCATGGACTTCAGGACAGAGGAAATGAAAGCGAGGGTTTTGTGAATTCCAGACACTTTTATTTCAGCATAATATGTTTGGTTTTGCTTTCAGATTTCAAATGGAGCAACCATAAAAGTCTTTAAAAAGAAGGCAAATACCCGATCAGGTAATGAAGGAACTGCAACCTATTTAATCTTTTGTGGCAAATGGGCTGGGAATGCAGAGACCTGAGCTATGACAGGTTGTATCTTGGTCAATAGGAGGTCAGAAAAATTGGCACTTTGATATAGCTGAGCCAAATGAAGAGCCGTGTTACCCTGGCTCTGGGCCTCTGGCAGGCCTAGGAAGTGGGCAAAGGAAGGAAGGACAGAAGGACTTAGAGTCCTCGGCAAATGACTGCTTAAAGATACAGACTCACAGGCAGGAAAGCAGGGCAGGGAAGGCCAGGTGACACAAAGTGCTGACTGGTGAGACTAACACAGGGAACGTGCCCTGCTCCAGTGCCCGGCGTGGTGCACCACAGACATAGTGGTGCACTGTCCAGAGACAGGCATAACAAAAAAACTCAGTTTTGGAGTTTTCCTTATTCTCTTGACTGCATTTCTGAAAGCTTTGGCTCAGCTGTCTCAACAGCAGGTCAGGAGTTGAAGGGTGCTTACAAGGGGTCAGTTCATCTCACCTGCCCCTGTGATGCAGGTTGCTACAGCCCAGCTGGTGTCCTGGGGGAGGTGGATTTTCTGTAGCCCCTGGAGAGAAACAGCCACTCCTAGCGTGTGATTCACCTCACCATCAAAGTGGACATCTAAAGTTAGGAGAGATGCGTCCCTGGGGTGCAAGTCACTGGGATGGCATCGCTCTCTCCCTCAGCAAGAACAGGGTCGTCTGTTCTCAGCCATTGCTGTTAAGCCTGACCTCAGCCCACCTGCACTGAGCACTCCTAGAGACTAAACCGGTGCAATAATCTCATCTGCTGTCTGTTGTCCTCCTTTCAGAGGAGCTGCGATTTGCTGCCAGCTTACCCCAGCAGCAGGTGATGATGCCCTAGCTTAGTGGTCCGAGCTACAGGTTGGCACTGGTGAGGTGAGCCAGGACCTGTGCGTTTCTCAGAGGCTTCCCCCACACTGCAGGCAGGAAAGCATGACACCCAGCCTGCTTCCTCAGCATCCTGGCATGCAGCCTGCTGCACAGCCCAGAGCCCAGCAGAATTCACAAGGTTGTAGCTGTGTGTTTCATTTAATGCCCGTTTGCTCTCTGCTTTCTGTTTTTTAGATGTGGACTACTCAGATGAACACTGTCATTTGGTGAGTTCAGTCATTACACTGTTAAGAGGTAGATTTAATACTGAGCTGTATTTGTATCTGTGTAATCTCTCTAATCTTTTCACGACAGATTTTACCAGACTCTGAAGCAAACAAAGATGTGAAAGGAGCAGGTCACAAAGGAAAGCAAAAATTCAAAGTGAAAGAAATGTATCTGACAAAGCTTCTGTCAACCAAGGTAAACTGTAAAGGCCTTAATTTGGGGGAGGGCTGATGTTAGGCTTGGCTAGTTTGGCACGGCTAGTTTGGCACAACAGAAATAGAAATTAAAGCAGAAATTACGCAGCCTTCCTGCGCTTATATCAAACGTTAAATAAAAAGGTAGCCTATAAAAATCACTATGCTAACTGTGGATTATGACCATTTGCAAGGACGGACATGTTTCTGGTTTTCTAAGGCTAGAGTTCTAAAATTGTCTATTACTCACACCTCCTATCTCCCCAATAAGCACAACCTTTTTTCTCAGGTTAAAGAAAAAAGGTAGTTATTGAGCTTATAGAAAGTGTGTTTTGCCACTGAGTCCCATAGAGCGAGAACAATCCCTTCTGGAGAGACAGCTTTCAGTCAACAATCTTCTCACGCTTTACTAGAGTTTGCCCAGCTTGGAGACGACTTCCAAGGCCTGAGTTTCACAAAATACTGCCCATGAAATGAAATAATCTTTTAGGGTCTCAAATTAAGCATCCAAAATAACTAGATTAATTTTAAAAACAAGGTCCTTAGGATTTATAATACGATTACCTAATTTATACAGTGCTCATTCTGTAGGAGTAAGCTCTGCTCACTCCCTCCAGTAATGTCATCTTGTTTCTGACTTACTCAAAAGGGTTATAAAACTCTTTGCAACAGCATATTTATTAAGCAGTGCACAACACTGAGAGCTGTGCCATACAAGAGGCCTGAAGGGATTATGATTATGGCCTTCTTGCATTTAAAAATCTATCAATCATTATTTAATTAGATTGTTGATAGCATCTGAAGTAATTTGGGTTACTAGCCAAAGTGAGAGTGAAGACTGGTCATTTCTCATTAGCTGTGGAAACTAACATAAGCCCTTAGGAACTGCTGGAGTAAGCCAGTAATATCTTAGGGTGGAAGACTGAAGTACGAAAGAAAAGATCGGCCTCTTAAGAAACAGTCCTTTTAAAGGGCTTTAAATTAATCATCTCTTTCTCCAAAGTAGGATAGGGCTCTGAACAACAATGCTGTGATATGCTTCACTGTGAAATTCCACCCATGATACACCGTGCACTAAAGGAAATTTCACTGAACCATGTCTCTCTTCCTCTCTCCCTCACCCATACACACACACAGACACAACTGCAGAATTTGCTATGTGAACTGGCCAGTAGCGCATCAAGGCCCTGGGATACACTTAAATCCTGCCTGTTGAGAGAAGATTGGGCTGAAATGAGCTTCAGAACAGATGTGAAGAAAAAAAGCACAAAACAGTGTTTTGCTTTGTTTGCCTCTACTTATGAATACTCTGTGATGATGTCAGTGAGTCTGTCAGCAACCAAGCCCTTGCTTTTGTGAGCCAAATAGCTTCACTTCCAGATCAGAAATACCCAGGTTTCAGTTCTACTCTCTAATATTAGCATCTTCATATGCCACCCAAAGTGGTTATCCTAGAACTAGATCAAGCACCACAGTCACTTGGCTGTGAAGTGGTGATGAGCACGTGTTCAACATGTGTTGCAGATGGCCCGATGAAGACCAGTGCCCTAGAAAACTGGTTAAACTCTTTTTTGCTCACCTCCCTCTTACTTCCAGTCACAAGGTCTAAATGCCTTTAGCAACAGTGCCAACAGTATCTGAAGAGTTGATGTTGTCTTTGTTGGAACGAGCGATTCCTTCCACCTACGATTTATCACAAAGTTCACCTCAATTCTCCTGTCGGTAAAGTGATAGCACATGTGACATACAAAAGCAGCTCATTATGGTGTATTTGTAGTTTCATTTTTGTTATTGACTGTCTTGTTTGCCAATAACCTGTGGCCTAGATGTTTGCCACACGTGTATTATAGTTTCTGTGTGTGGTTGCCTTGGGGCAAGCACAGCTTTCTGAGACAAGAAATCCTGGTCTTTTCTTATGTAATAATAGCACAGCCCATTTTCTTACTTTTCAGGTTGCAATTCATTCAGTTGTTGAAAAGCTCTTCAGGAGCATTTGGAGTTTACCCAACAATAAAGCACCTGTTGCCATCAAGTACTTTTTTGACTTTCTGGATGCCCAGGCTGAGAGCAAAAAAATTACTGACCCTGATGTGGTCCATATATGGAAAACCAACAGGTATGCCAGTATGATATGTGCAGGAGTGCATGCAGTCCCTGAAAATGTAGTTGCAAAGATGGAGCAGGTCACCTGTGATCAGAAGAATAAGATTTTGGCATGTCTGGGTGAAGATGTGGTTTGGCTTTGTGGATCCCAGTAATTTTAGTGTATTGATTGGATACTGATACAAACCACCATAGCTTCCAGGACTTCTAAGTCTGCATACTGACTTCACGCTCAGAAAGACGTATGTGCAGGTTGGGAGCATTATTTGCAGATGGAAGGGTGACTGACTGATGTGCTTGCTCCGTAGCCTTTGTTCCCTCATCCCTTTTTTAACATGACCAAGCAGCCCAGAAATGTGCTTCTTTCCATGAATGCAGTGCAATTAAGCTACCGTTTTAAAGCAGTTGTGCTACCTGAGTGGTTAATTTTAAAGATGCTTGTTCTTTCTCTGTCTAGTCTTCCTCTTCGCTTCTGGGTGAACATACTGAAGAATCCCCAATTTGTCTTTGATATTAAGAAGACTTCACATATAGATGGCTGTTTGTCTGTAATCGCACAAGCTTTCATGGATGCCTTTTCTCTAACAGAACAGACACTGGGGAAGGTAATGCTGCACTTCCAGTCTTTTGCTAACTTCTCAAACAATGTCTTTTTCAACCATATAAGGATTTAGGGAATGAAGTCCTGGATCTGCTGACATCAGGGGCAAAACTGTCAGTGGCCTAATTAAGTTAGTTTCTGCACAGTGTGTTTATACAATATGTGGAAGAGGGTAGAAATTGCAGATTTTAATGATGTTTTAAAGACTTTTTAAACAAATGTCTTAAAAGTATTAACATTATTTGATAAGTAGTCCAGATTTTATCTGCCACACACCAATGTGCAGAAAACACACGTAGTAAGCTACTGGGAGCGGTAAGAATACTTGAAAGAGCTCTGAAGTTTGAAACGGTTCCTTTCACATGAATTAGCTGCTTCTTTTTTATAAGCAAAATTATTTGCTGGAGTAACAAGTCCAGAAATCTTACATTCAAAGGCTCTTTAGTACAATGTCCAGAACTCTGGTAATCAGAAATACTTCATTTTTCCTGAGGATATTTTCCTTTCCATTGGACCAAAGCAGGAAGCATTTGTTCAGGCTCATACTACCGAGAAAAACAGGCTAGAGATTTTTTAGACTAAAAAAAATTATGTAATAATGGACTAATTTCCTATGTGATCTGCAGCAACTGTTCATCTGTTAAAGGTAAATAAAAACAATGTGCTTATTTATCTTATTTTAGGAGTGAAGTGTTGTGAATTGAAACTAATCACATCACTTACTTGATGGAAAAACTGCAAATGAGCACGGTCTGTTAGGTTTCTGTGCTTAACACCCGTTGTGAAGTACTGGTGATACAACAGCTCCTAACCATTTGAAAAGGGATGCTGAAACCTGATAAAGGTTTGCAGTGCAGTAAACATCTTGTGGCCTTTTAGTACTCAAATGTATTTACTTTCATGATTTTTAGCCTTTTACCATAAAACATTCTTTAGCCACTTAGAAAACAAACATTTAAATCATTTCATCACACAGTGGAAACAGTAGTGACAAGATGTCACGTGGTTGTGTCATTTATTCCCCAGAATTTAAACTAGAGCAGTGACAGGAAACTACCAGCCCCCACTTTTACATTCTGAAAACATGGTTTCCAGGTGGGGCTTCAGCTCCTACCACAAACATCAGCATTTATTTCCTCGGATGAGCCTAAAGCTGCCTGGTAGGTCAGTGCTGACCTGGGTTGTTGAAGCCCTGGGGGAAAGAAAAAAAAAATCCCTTTGGCTGTGCATGCCTGGCAGTCAGCTCTCCATGCTCTCGAACCCCTGAGCGAAAGGAGTGGTAGGGACCAAAGAGTTTTAGGGGAACCTCTGCCAGGACAGGATCTAGCAAGGTCCTCTGGCATGTTACCCTAGGGGAACTTTCCACAGCACTGCTGTATCCTGTATGTAAATAGGGTATCAGCCTCAAGCCCTTTGGTTCGGCTTTCACAATCTTTCAGCAGTGAGGAAGTAAGAAAGAAAAATATGTCTAAGGGACAAATGTTCATCACTCCTGATGCCAATAGAAATAATTATACGGCAACTGTCATGCAACACAATGCACTACTACTGAGGTCCTGCGTCTGTTCTTCATCTTTATTTCATAACCTTGATTCTTTGCATATAACCACCGCAAAGAGAAATGAGTCACGCAGAGAACAGACACAATTAGATGCAATTAACTGTGTGGAGGTGGAACCTTAGGAAATCTGTGCTGTGAAAATTGACAAGACTTCAAATATTTTCTTTTAAGGAAGCACCAACAAATAAACTTCTCTACGCTAAGGACATTCCGCTCTACAAGAAGGAGGTGAAAGCGTACTATAAAGCCATCAGGGATCTGCCTCCACTGACCACTTCAGAGGTTGAAGAATTTCTAACTCAGGAATCTAAGGTACGGTTGAGGAGCGGCAACTTCCTTTCATGCTAAGTTTTTTAAAAAGGAGAACTATCTGACCAGAACTGTTTTCTGTTTTAGAAACATGAAAATGAATTTAATGAGAAAGTGGCCTTGTTTGAAATCTACAGATACATAGTGAAATATTATGATGAGGTAAGGACGTCTGCTATTTCTGCTTTACCCCTTAATGTTAACTTGCTACCTCAGGCTTTGAAAGTTGGGCTTGACAGAGTAACCAAGGGCTGGCCTGGTGTGTGACTTACTGGCTGCCACTCCAGAGACAGCCCTGCAGTGATGCAGCCGAGGCTGCTTCTCCCTGCAGTTTTGAGAAAGTTCCTATATAGTTTAGACTTCTCGTTTTACTGTGCGGGCAGAGTATTTGCTAATGCCCGTCACAACTCCTGTGCATGCGCTCCATTTCCCTGGAGATTCAGAAATCAGGTTAGACTGTAGCACCAGGGATCTCGATTTAGCCGTCAGCACAAACACTTTGGCGGAGCACGCTCAGCCTTACAGCAAGAGGTGTCTGCTCCTTTCTCATCGCAGCCCTCTGCTCTAATAGGCTTTCTCTTAAAGAAGCTATAGCTTCCAGTCCCTGCTATTGCTAACAAAAGAAATCTTTCCTCAGCTGAAAGCACTTGGTCGCAGGCTACCTCTAAGCTGCCTTGAAAGAAAAATCCCTGCCCTCCGCTTCGTACGATCGGGTTCTCCACTCCATTTTGCTCGGCATCCTTAACAGAGGCTGCGTGTGCGTGCGCAGGGAGGCAGATGAGAGCTGGCTGGGGTGTGTTGCCTGAAGGCCTCGTTACCACTTCCAGCAGGTTGTCTGGGTCTCCCAGCAACCAGACCTTTCCCTCTTTCATCCCCAGCGCACAGCATCAGCACTTGCTGTAATCATCCAGCTCTTGGTCACCTGTTAGCTAGCTTGCCACTTCTGATCGCTAACATCTCAAATTATCTGGGTTCGGCATCAAATCTTCGCCTCTTAAAAGAAGCTTGGGAAGGTACTCAGAATGGCACTACACTTTGTTAAGCTCACGAAAATTGCTGACACAAGAGACGCCAGAATAGTTTCTAATCTTAATGCCCATTTTTGCTTTTTTGAGGCTGGTACTGGCTCAGCTTACCCCATTCCTTAGAAGGAAATCCTCCCTCTGCTCTTCCCCCTCTGGCTTTTGACCGGGAGCAGCTAAACCTCATTCATTGTTTGCTGAGACCTCAGTTGCTTTGTAGAGTTGCCAGCAAAGAGTTTTCAGACAGCAGTAGTGCTCCTTCCTATCGCCTGGGCCGGTGCCAAGTGGGCCAGTTAGAGGAAGAGAGGCAGTTTGTGGCCCTCAGTTCACAGGGCAGAGGAAGAGAAATAAAATACCATTTGCAAATCTCCTCTAGGGTAAAACTGGAGCCCTGGCCTTGCCTCACACTTCAAGAGATGAACATGTGTTGGATTTGTTTGGGTTTTTTTGCTTAGCTCTGTCATTCTTTTGTGGAAGTGTTGCAAATCCTGTAATCGTAATGACTGGAGAGGAAAACGACGAAAATAAAGTGTTAAAGTCAGGAAAGAATGTTTACATATAGGCATTTTCTGCCAGTAGTTGTTGGAATGCAGAAAAGCAGGCTTTAAAAAACAGCAAGTAAAGTAAGTGCTAAAAAAATGATTCTCTTTTTTGCTAATTGTTAACAGATTGTCAGCAAACTCGAGCGAGAACGGGGGTTTGAAGAAGTCCAGAAACTCCAGCAAGTAAAAGCCTTATTCGATGAAAAGAAAAAATGCAAATGGCTTTGAGCAGAGCACTGACTCACGGCGTCACTGTGGGGGATTTTAAATAAGCGCTACTGCTCCCAGAACTGTTTTGACTGACTATATGTACAGGGTTTGAAACATTTGGACACTCTTCTCCACTCTGACCATTCCAAGTAATATCTACGTTTGGGAATGAGGTATCTGCAGGGGTAGATATTCAGACGTGGGCATGTGAAAGCGAAAGTGAGCCTAGCGTTGGCACGGCCAGCATTTTTAGGTACTTGAACACATGTACCTTTTGGTTCAAAAATACTGCTTAAGTAAGCTTTCCGCTTATTTAAAAACAAGCTTGCAGGAGGTGCACAAAACACACTGCAAGTTCAGAGTTGCCCATGTGAACTTGTAAGTTGCTTAGCTCTTTTTTTTAAGAGAGAAAGCTGATGTTTCGCCACATCCTTTCAGCAGCCTTGGCAAACTGTGAGGATGAGCTCCGGCTCCGGACTAGAGGTCAGCTGCAGTTTCCTTCCTTCCAGATAAATGTACACTGGTCCCTGTTTGGGGGTGGGGGAAGAAAAAAAAAAAAAAAAGCACCAAAGTGACACTTAGGACAAGTGTGTTTAGCAAGACAAGGTGGGTCTGAGGTTTGAAGTCCAAGTGCCGCATGGCAGGACTTCTCTTCCTCAGGTTAGAAATTCCATGTGCAAAGGGAGGCCAACCACTGGGCAGGCAGGGAGGCTTTCGGAGAGGCTTTGGAGGCCGGCATCAGTCTGTGTTTACATTTCTACCTTTCCATCCTTAAGTAAGCTGTGAAACGCTTGTGAGCAGCCTCACACGTGAAACCTCCGTGCAGCTGCACCGCGTCGGAACGCCGCTGTCAGCTGATGAAGCAGCTGACGATGGCTGCGCTTTGGTGCGCAAACCTGTACTCAGGTGCATGATCGGCCCCATGCATCAGTGCTGACAGTCCAGGCCAGTCTTGCCATCCGTGTACGAGGGCCTCACAAATCTAAAGCCAGCAGATTTTTTTTTTTTTTTTTTTTTTTTTCAGGTTGGCCACGCAAAGGCTTTGTCGAGAGGGTTAGTTTAATAATTTGTAAGGACAGGAGGGCTGGTGTAATCTCTGAGTCTGTATGAGAAACTGCTTGATACAAACATGATCTTTAGGGTTGTGGGGGGAAGGCAACTGCCTTGGTCCTGCTGGGGTGTTTTTTGAGGCCTGGCCGCTTTCAGAGGAGGGGGTCCATTACATTTGCATTGGTGGCTAAAGCTAGCCCAGCTGGAAAGCGGGTGTGCGGCCGTGCTGCTGAGATGAGGCTGGGGCAGGCAGTGGCTACCATGCAAAGCCACGGAGGAGCAGCCATGGCTCTGGCTCTGCTACCACACCAGCACAGTCCTGCCTTCCACTACAGAGCTGACATCTTTTGTTGCCGCGGGCTCTGCATCAGGCACGTGGAGGCACCTAGGCTGCAGCCTGCCCTTAGATGTGAGGTAAGGCGTTGATGAGGCGGAGATACATTTCCACGCGTTTCCGGAGGGTCCCGCCGCCGGAGGTGAGCGGCATAGCGCAGTGGCCCACCGGAGGGGGAAGAGCTGTCCCTTGCCTCGGCAGCAGCAAGGGTGCTGCGAAAGGCGTAGGTGACCCAAGTTTAGTATAGAAAGCCTATGCTGGGGCTGTGACCAGCCAGAGGCGCCTATGCACGGCTCCCAGGCAGCGGAGTGTTCACAACATCGATTAGCGTGCACCGCTGCTTTGGAGGAGCCCAGAGGCTGCGCTACAGCGATACTAAAGCTGGCCGGCTTGGCTGCAGCGGCCACCAGAAGCTGGTACCAGGCACAATCCCACGGCACGTGGCCGGCCAGCGCCGGAGAAGGCTATCCGCGCTTTACCCAAAGCAAGGCCTTCCGTTAACGTGGGGAAAAAGCAAACACAAAAATGCGTTACCTACTGGTCTGCCCCCTCCCTACCCTGTGACTGCACAAACTGTACCTCTTGCATATCAGTGAGGGCAGCCACCAACCCATACTGTGATGGCTTTTTTGTTTTGTTTTAATTCGTGTCTTACACGTGCTATTATTAAGTTTACACTTTATACTTGATGGAATGTATGGCTTTCTTCAGGAAACTGCACTACAATGTTGCAGTACTTTCAGCAGTTCTCTTCTCTGCCTGGCACAATATATTGTGGTAAGTTTAATTTTAATTGGAAAAAAACCCAGCCCTAACCCATCTTGCCCTCTGTCCTAAAGGAGTGGACTGTGGCTTGAGTAGCACTTAAGCTTAGAATACCTGTACTTAAGGGCTTGATTTTTTTAATCATTCTTAACCTAACCTTTTGAAGCAGCATCAAAGAAATTAAAAAAGAAAAAAAAGCACAGTTATTAATATTAAAGGCGGGGCATGAGCAGGTTACTCTTTCCAGTTAGACAGCTATCTTGGCAGTTCCATTCCACTTCAGGTGTTTGCTGGCAGTGCAGTTGAATGAACTGTGATAGTTTTGTTCAACAGTAACCTTCTGTACAGGCAGAAAAAAAAAAAAAAACCCCACCAAAAAACCAACCCAACAAAACACCCACCCAACATTTCTGCTTGAAAAGCTGTAAAATATAATCTGTTTGCGTGGGTCTGATCCTGTGAACTTCACTATATGTGTTTATATGATGAGGAAATGAAAATCGGTCATATTTGTACTACTGCTTGTTTGCTACAATAGCTTTAATGAGTTCTAGAGATTAAGTATGTGTTGCAGCAGGCCCTGTAGCATTAGCCTACAGCCTGGAATAAGATTATTGCCTTTTATTCAAGCTTCCTAAGCAGTGTCACTCTGTTAGTAAATCATTTAAAGTCATGCTGGGACTTTGTAACCCATCAAGTGGATCTCACAAAGTGATGTGAAGTATAATTAAGTGATTGTGGCTCTTTTGGTAGGTTTGGGTCAGCACACAAAACATTGGCACACCTTCCGTATCTGCGATTCGCTGTTACTGTTACGCGGACAAAAAAAAGAACCACCTCTGGATAAAGCTGTATTATGGCAACCCCACAATTCTAACAGCATTCTCTGAAATGCAAGCAAACTTCTCTTTAACTTATTTTCACATGTTTACAGGCAAACTGCTACGGCAAACAGCATTTTTTTTCTAACACTAGCTTACAGAGCATTATTTTGCAGTCATCTGGTTTAAAAAGTCAAATGTTACTAATGTGTAATTCCTGTTGTACAGAAGTTAACCTGTTGTTTAAAATGAATGGTGAAAAAAAAAAGAAGTGCAAATGACAAGTACGTGTTGGTGTTTGTATGGGCTTATCTAGAATAAAATGCATTGGGAGGTTATTTTGATTAACTCGTGTACTTTAAACCGGTGAAAAGAAAGCAAGCGCAGCTTGTAGCAATGCCAAGGTCATGCAAGGAACAGGGCACAAGGCGCTGGCTGGCGGCAGTTGAGCAGTGCTACTGCAGCTCCAGCCCCACGAGGCTCCCAGGCAGAGGCAGGTGGGCAGATATGGGGTGTTACAAACCACCTCCCTCCCTCTCAAGCTGGGAAGTACAAAAAAAGGGAAGGTACAATGCAGCATCAGGCGTGCTGGGGGCGGAGAGGTACTGGCCCAAAACCCAGCAGCTGCTGAGCTGCTTCACACAACTTCATTGCTTTGAGGCTCCAAGGCTGATGATACCTTTCAAAAGCTAAAAATAAGGGTAACCTGATAACCGTTCTTTCAGGAGAAGTTGCTGCGGGGACATGAAGTTCACTCTCACGCCTGAGACAGACTGGGAAAGGGAGCCCACAACCCAGTAGGTGTCCAGCATTCCTCCTCCTGCTGTCACCCTTTCTCCGCCCTCCAAGGCTGCCCTAGTTTGTACAAGCCGCCCGCCCTGCCTCGCGCCTCGCTGCGGACCGCAGAACAGGAACGCGAGGCTGGGGAGAGCTGGCTCCCTGCAGCCATTCTCTACTGGAGAACCTTGGTCAACGCTACATTTGGTAAAGCTGGCTCAGGCACGGATAGTGACTTTTTCCAAATTAACCCTGCAGGAGATGGTAGAAATAGCTTCAGTTACTTCTAATAGTTACCCTGTTTTCCTCAGAGAAGTCCACCAAATTCCCCAAGAAAGTGCAGTGCAATCCTTATACTTACGTACTGTACGGAAAAATAAAAAATGCAGCTTCTGGAGAGAAAAGTTGAATCAGTAACAACATCCCCATGTGCAAGGTAGTTACTCAGTTGTCTATTACTACAGTCTAATAACAATACCGAATAAGCTATTAAAAGAAATCGCACTGCATATCTCACTGCCTCATACTTTCACTGCAGTATTTTGTGGGGGAAAAAAAGAAGCCCAAACAAAAACCAGATAAAATCATTCCTACACTTCTAAGAAAGTTTCACTATCAGGTCAAAAAAATGAATTGATCCTTTACAAGTTTCTGTTACTAAACTGATAATGAAGGGGGGAAAAAAAAAGATTTTAAATGAACACACTCAACCCTGAATAAATAATTTTACTGTAGTTAAGTAAACAAATTAAAGTAGCAACAAATACAAATTTACATTTACAATTTGTTATACTTAATCTCCACTATGTTATATTAAAAAACACGATTATTGCTTATTCCCATTATAAAAATAGAAGAGGCACATTGTCAAGGGTAGCAAATAAAAGTTTTCAACACTTGTTTTCATTTCATCCTCTCTATCTGCATGGGAACTTCAAAATAACAATCCAAATGTGGCTTAGAGCATTGTTAACAATCAAAACAGCAACCCAGCAAAACTCCACACTGATACAGTAACTTCTACATTCAAGGAGCAAGAGGATATTATTAAATAAGTTTTAATGGATTTATTAAAAAAAAAATAATTTTTATTTTAAATGTCAGCACAACCCAAACCTTGATAAATATTTTTTAAAGTTTCATGTGATTTCATGTTTTGACTTCCAAATAATTTTACATCCTTTATATAAAAACATTTCAAAACGTAGTTAATCTTTCAGTGCTTTTGTTTTGAACCATTATATTTGATTTATGTCAGTCTATCAAAAATAAATACAAAACTACGCAGAATATATTTTATGCTAGCCAGGCACATACAAGTATGTTTTGGGCAAAATAGTAGAAGCACATCCAAAGGATAAGCTACTAGAAACTAACAGCATGTGGAGTTCGCAGATTTTATTTGGAGTCCTCACTCTGTGCATCGCCTTCTCCAGCCATCTTGTTTCTAGCCAAGTCCCCGTATGCACCCACCGTCACTCGCTCTCTAGATGGTCCAAGATCTTGCAGCTGTTTTCGCTGTGTGGTTTCCAGTTCTTCCAACCGCTTACGAAGCAAGGACAGCTCTCTCTGATGCTGTTCCTCCTTGAAATTTAAAAACAGCAAAAAAAAAGTGGCTCTATTACATTTTGCACACCTACAAAGGACCAAAATGAGCAATAATTTCACTTTCCTTAATGATTTTAAAATAAAAACTTGTTCTGTAACAAACGTATCGTTTGTCTTTCAAGAACTCCTTCCTATTGCGAGGAAGGCAACATCACTAGAAGCATTCCTCAAAGTTTCCTTCCTCTGTCAAAGATGGAATACTCCTTCCTTAAGACTAAGGTCTGTAATGAAGGACTGTTGTAGTACCCTCTTTTGCTGTATTATTTTCACAACTTGTAATACATCACCACCTGAAGAAGGGGGAAGGACACTTCAGGCCCAGGAGGCAAGGCAGATGATGACATTACACTGACTGGATTGAGTGATGGTATGTTAGGATTCAGAATTAAACTCCGGAATTCATTGTGCCTACGTTGCAAGTCCTTTAGTCTCTTCTGGAGGCGTGCGTATTCTTCATGGGAAACATTCTGTCTAGGAAATAAGAGATTTCTTATTGCTCAAAATCTTTTTTATCCCAACACAGAAGCATACCTCTCCACGAGCACTCTGCGGTTTATTATGCCTACAAAGGAAAACTACATACCGGAAAAATGGGAAGGTGGAAGATCTGTGTATAGTCTTGTGCCTAAACATCTATCTAAAAGTCCCTCTATGCATTAAGCTAGCTGCTCTATTACAGATAAGAATTTACATGGAATAAATTAAGCTTTTAATAGCATTCACAGTAGTGAGCCACAGGAGCCACATTAAATGAATTATTTCAATCAAGCCCTCCATAGGTACTCAAAGAAGACAAAAAAAATAGGAGTTTGTCTTTCAAAGAGGATGCTAAGTCTGTTTCTCTTGCAATTCTGGAGTCTTTTTCTTTCCCACCTTCCATTTATTTTCACATACTGTACTTCCAGCTCTGATACTGTTTCACTGCCACACCTCCTTTTTTTATATACTCCCTTCTTTTGAAGGGATTCCTGCAAGTGTGTATCAGATATTTTTCCTCCATTTCTTCCTGAAGAGACAGCCCTACAGGTATCTCATGAACTCTTAGCTGTCCATGCTAAAGGGACTCCATTCAAAGATTTCTAATGCTGAAAACGCCATTAGATTGGACTCCAGTTACTAAACTAAGTATCATGAGAAAAAATTACTTCATATTCACTACTTCAAATATTACTTCATATATCATTTTTCAAGCTAAGAAAAAGCAAAGTTTATTACCTATTTAGCACCTGATTTTCTTTTTCTAGCTCTTCTATCTTGGCTTCCAAAAGTTCTAGTTTCTCTTGCATCCTCCTTTGTTTATTATCATTGAGAGTCTTTCTCTGTCAAACAGACATTTCAAACAGAGCTAAGTGAATGCCTTAATAGATTAGATCCTGTAAAAATTAAATCTACATTGCATATGGTTTCAAAGCTGTGACAGTTTTTAGGATTTTCCTTCCTTAAGAAGAAGTGCCGTGTCGTCTGAAGGTTCTGAATCCCCATGATGGGAAACAGAAGAGATGGGAAATGATCTGTAGCTGTGACTGAAAGATGCACAGCTGTCAGTCACTCGTTGGTCAGTGACTAACTGTACTAACAAACACTTAACTGTATTTAAGAATTACAAAATTCATTCTTTAAATGACCATGTATAACTAAGTATAAACATGAACAAAAAAAGTACACTTTTGGTTTTCTTTTTTGCTCATGTTGACCTCAACTTTTAACAACCTTAAAAGCTACTGGTAGGTTTCATAACCTGTATATGCCTAATGTATGAAACTGCCAATTAATCTTGAGCTTTTATAAACAATTAATCAGCTTTTCCTTTCAAGTTATTTCATAAGAAGCAAGCTTAGGAGAAAATATAAAATTTTAATATTCTATCAAGGAAAAGCAGAACATCATTTGTCTGGTGTCCAAAACATCATCCTTACTAATCAAGGAGTCCTCCTCTTAAATAACCATATACACACACACACACACAAAGCCTCACAAAATCTTTGATGGCATTATAACAAAGTTGTTGGCTGTAATATTCTTTTGCATATCACTTCAACCTATTTCTGCGCTAATCTTGAAGAACCGATATATGTCGTTACTACATTCAGTAGATTGCAAATAAACTCTTAATAATAAAACAGTTCTAGCTGGCCAAAGTAAAGCTGAACTTTTCATAAGCTGGATCATTCACAAAGGAAGAGTCACCGTGCCTTTTTCTGAGCAACAGCAGCTCGACACAACTTGTTCTTCACTTGGTTGTATTTCTCTTCTTTCTCTGTGATGCGCTGAGTAAGCACATGCTTCTCCTCCAGCCATTCTATACGTTTGTATTCTAAAGTCCTTTGAAAAAATCAGGTAAAAAGATTAAGAGGTTATATAGAAAAAGCAGTGCATTCGATTAACACCTCAAGGCTCTTGAAATAGATGCAGCTTTCCATAACTCCAACCTTTATATACTTAAAGGATCTGATTTAAATTTCATTGTGCTCAAGGTTGACCAAAATTGAACCTGTACATTAACATCATCCCAGGTTTTGTTCAACTATGAGGCACGATTTGAACACTGATTCCAATAAGCTAGTTAATTGTAGGCTGTTTGTTGTTGGCACATTGGCAAACCATCCATGGTAAAATTTCTAAATTTGGATGAAATAATCACATTGGAACACAACAGTAGACACCTATGCTAAACACCAGTTTTCAGAAGAGCAGACAACTGCCTGCTCTGTTTGGGAGGCAAGATGTAAGAGAATAGGTTGCTGCCCTGCGTGGTCTACTATGCCTTTGTAACAGAGAAGTACAGACTTGACTAGTGCATGCTCCCAACCAGAACAAACGCCAACACAACAGTGGAAGCTCCCACTGATACGGTTCCTAGACAACATTCCAGCTGAACGCACACCACCAACAACATATGTTATCTGTTTAGGCCTTTGTATGGTTAAGACATACTAAAATTAGGCTGTGTTCTCTAGCAGTGGATAGGAAAGGAGCCAGTTTCTCTCTGCTGCCTTGTTTGTTTGGGCTACCTGCATTGTGGGTCAAAGTAGATGAGAACAAACTGCGTATTTAACTTCATTACTATAAAAAAAACCAATGGTGAGATTCTTTGCAGCATTTTTTAAGAAATGCAGTCCAGGGCCTGGTATCAGTGCACCCATACCACTCCAGTCCTGGGCTGATGCAGTTTCCCTTCAGGGACTGCAAATGGATCTCCATAAATTTCTCACCAGCCTTTCCCTTCCCCACAGTAGAATTATGAGGAGTCATCCACTCTCATAGCAGAACCAGGATCCTGGCCCACTTGGTACCTGTCACAGTTCTTTTAGTAGACCTAGTGTGGCTTGTACCTTGCTGTTGACTGTAAACAACTACTACTACCCAGGAACCAAAGAGCTTTCTCAAAAAGCACTGCTTAACAGTAGAAGAATTGCAATTGAGACAGCGGTTAAAAATGCCATGAGATTTTTTTTTTTTTTTTTTAAATGCTACTAACACTGTTCCTGAAATGCTTAACAATTGCCTGTCTGAGCTCCTCTCTGATCTGTATCAGTCTCAGTTTGCCCTCAGCCCTTTTTCCCATTTCACATTTTCAGTCCCATGCCTAAGATTGACACAGCCAGGCAGGCAGCTGCTTTGGCTACTTATGGCTCAACTGGCATTATTTTATTTATCTGAAACTTTTTATCTTAGGCTTTCTTACCTTTTGGTTCTTATTTCACTTCCTCTTTAAGCCAAGTTGCTTTGGTGCAACTTAACTCTTGGAGTTCAAGCTTGTAAGAATTACTGAACTGAGGAAGGAAGTCCTATCACCCAGAGAGTCAGGAAAAGAATGGAAACGTCCCCAGTCTCCCAGGGTAACAGTAGCACATCTATATATACAGACCCGGAGGACTTGCAATACAGGCTGCCAAGCTGCTTAATTTCTGCAGTATCAGCAAGATTTAGTTTCCTTCAGCATTTATTAGCATATTTTGATTGTATGTGGTCAAGCTTGTGTGAAAAAAGAAAGTGATTATTTTTCATTTTGATGACAGCAACTAGAAGATACCCAATAAGCTTTTATATGCCTCATATAAGATCTAGTTGGAGGGGGGAAAAAAGTATATACACACATACACAGACTGGGTCCCTGAAACCTTATCAAAGCTTAAACACTCTTAAAAGAACTGTGTGTGAAACTCTGGATCCACTTCAATATAAACAGGATTGCATTTTATAAAAATAGTGTATTTCACTAGTCAAGAATTGTAACAGACATGAATGGAAGCCAACTCCTATATTTGAGGTTACCACAAGCATAACAGAAGGTATAGCCATTTTTTTACAATCGTCCAATATTTCCTGTTCATTTTTAATTTCAGACTTTATTCAGAATCTACAATCCACAGTAAGTAATTCATGTGAAGTGAGTACAACCAGTATGAAAAGGAAAAGTACAGCCAAAAAGAAAAAAAATTACTTCTCTGTTTCCAGTTGAGCTTTTTCTGCCTGAGTCCTTGCATGTTGACATTCTTGTTTCAATCTTTCTATTATTTCCTTCAGCTTCTGATTAGATTCCAGTAAATCATTTTCTGACTGAGAAAGTGAGGCAAGTTGGAGTTGCATGTTGTGCATTTGCTACAAAGAAATGAAATTTTTCCATTTGAGAAGGTATGCAAATAACTTAATTTTGAGATACTGAGATAGAGCAAATGCAGACACCAACTGGCTGCATTAGCTTTTCATAAGCCTTTCTTATTTGTTCTTTTTCTCCTTACTCAACAGCTTCTCCAGAGGCTTTATAGTAAATCACTACTAGCAAGGAAGGTTTTCTGTTGTAGTTAAAATGAGAAAGAGAAAGGGAGGCAGGAGTCTTCAGTCATTGATGTGTCCCCCAGAACTTAAGAAATCTGACATTAAGCCCCAGGTTGAACAGAACTAGAGCACCACACAACATTTAGGAGCTGAGCTGTGGAGCTACCTAGACGCCCCCCTCTCATACCGCGCAACGCGTTACAGCCCGCACTGGCTATACCAACCAGTTCACAAAAACAACTGAGTCTGAAAAGTCCAACCTCTGCAGCCAGCATCACATGGAAAGGATGATTTCCCTTTCCTTTTCCTCTCCCCACATGCACACTCAGATACCCCAGTTTCTGATTTCTGGAGGAAAAACAAATATTGCTTTGAACTTCAAGTGCACACAGCTTGCAGACTACTTCGATGCACAGCTATGTTCTTACCTACTAAATATTACATCATGGGCCAGCAGGAGTTAAAAGAATTAGGTTTTATTTTCAACACTGCCATCAATTCACTCTGCAATAAAAATATACCTCTTTACACTAGTTTATTCATTTATGAAACATCTGTTAAGCACTTGAAGAACGTCAGATGAGACATGCAGTGTAAATGCAAAGCACTACCTAGAAACAATTTATAGTCTCCATGGAAACTGAATCTCCTGTTAAATAGTGCAGAACCGTATTCAATATACCAGTCTATAAACATTCAGCTTTGAAATCCTTGGTACCCAGAATACACATGAAGCAAAAAGCTGTAATCCATCTATAAAGGTCCAGGAAAGCATGACTGATTCCTGAACACTTCTTGCTTTTAAATATCTGTTGTATACATTTTGTCCCTCAGGAAAAAAGCCTTAAAAATTCAATCTAATCTCCAAACACTGGACATGGTAACTGCAGGAAATATTGTATTTCTCTATAAAACATTACAATGCAATAAAACCTTACCTGTTTCAGATCAGCACTTTCACATTTCTTTTCTTCCAACTCCTCTGTCTGAATAGCTTGCTGTTGAATTTTTAATCTAAAATTGTATAAGACATCCTTATTTTTATCTAATTAAAATCCAGATATTAGAAGTCAGGACAAATCAGTCTGACAATAGAATATATTGCATAATTTGAAAGGCTGATATGTATTTAACTAAACAATGATTAAAAAAACTATTTTTATTGATTATTAGAATGCATACAGGAGTAGGAAATATGTTGATTTTTTTGCTTTTGGAGTATGATTTTTGCTCATTTTATCATACTGACCTTTATACAAATACTATAGTAAAACATCTTCACTAAGATCTATAATAACCAACACAAAGAGATACCGTGTTAGGGTTCCAGTTTGCCCGTTGCTGATACGGTGCCATTGTGGAAAGAGAAACGGCTTAGTCTAATGCTGGGGCTATGCCAGCAGCCAACAAGGGCCCAATTTTAACAAACATGAGTATTGCAAAATTACGTCTTAAAAAATGTTCATTAAAATCTCATAATTTTTAAAGGTTTGGATGAAAAATGTTTGGTGGTTTGGTTTCTTTTAAACAGCACATTTTTAATTCTGCCCTCTTTTTACACAATGCAAAAGATAATTACATTTGTGTATCTATGAATAGTGAACATTTGTACTGACTACTGTAAAGAAATTAGGGGGGAAAAATGAGAAATTTGTGTTAAGGTTAGAAAAGCCACACTACCGCAAACGCTGAAGTTCCTTTTTGCTAGATTCTTCTGCCATCTGTAAAACACGTAGTTTCTCTTCATACTGATCCTTTTCAGATTGTCTCCAAGTATCTTGTTCCAGTTTCATCTTCTCTAGATCAGCTAATCTGTTCTCGAGTTCTAACCTGAGACAATATTCAACATGCACACAAGAATCATGAAAAAATGCCAGAAGTGTTTAGTTCTAAGAATGAATTTTTTTTCAAGTTACTCAAAACACTGCTCTTTTAGAAGTTGAACAGTAAATCAACAAACATACTTTTCATCCTGTAAGGCTGCAATTTTTTCAAAAACCTCCTCTTTGGCAGCTTGCACTTTACGAATTAGCTCCCGATCCTTTTCTACTAAAAGCACCTTATGACGTTCCACAGCTGCCTTAAGAATTTCCTTGTCTGACAGCAATCCTGCATTATACATTAAAAAAAGTTAAAATGTCATTATTGTTATGAACCTGATGAAATCCAGTATTAACATAACTTTATAAATGGATAAAAGGGAGCTAAAAATCACAATTCACATGACAGAATGAATCAATGGGAAAAAAACCCCAAGGAAAACAGAAGAGACATGGCCTTTCTTAGTATAACAGCAACATTTCAAAAACTTTTGAAGAGTAACCATTACACTGGAATCTATGTCTACGAGGGTCTATTATTTTAACATACCAAAACAATTAAACAGTTGATATTATTAGAGATTTGAACTCTAAAGCAATTTCTGCTAAGCTGTTATGTCTGGATTAAAAAAAAAATAGTTTTCCACAATAGCTATAAAAAGGTCAAGCAAGAAAATTTGTTATTTTCTTTTTGCAGAAAAGTTTATGGTACTGGTTACCATACAGTACCAAACAGTAACTGGTTACCAGTGAAACTGTAGTAACCTGGCTACAACAAATCTCACATTTTAATCCACTCATATTACCAAATGAGGAAATTCTAAAATTATGACTCTATAGGCAGGGACAAAAGATGCAAATTAGAAACTTGTGACCAAGACACCTGTGTTCACTGGCAAATAAGCCAACATACTGTAACAATGACTCCTGGTTATTTAGCTAATTGAGTGATGCAAACTGGATTCCACAGCAAGTTCTGGTTAGCTTAAATCCTGTCTGTATTTAGTTTCATATTTCATAGGGTCCAACATTTTTAGTTCGCAATATACTGTAAATGCATTGTCAATACAGAAAACACCACTTTTTAGTTGCTCTTAGAGAACTTAATATGAAAGCAAGTGAACAGAAACAACTATTCGAGAAAGATGAAGGTACTGTTTTGGGGTTACAGCAAACCGGTGAGGACAGTCCACTTAAAAGCTGTGTAGTGATTTAAATCATCAGTACATAACTAGTATTAGAAAGCTTTGGTCTTTTCACTCTAGAAAGGTATTTCAAGTTGCCTACGTACTCAGCTGTATTAGGTAGCTTAGAACATTGCCTATTTTCTTCAAAGAACAAGCTAGAAATTGTATTTTGTTCCACATGGCAGCCTTACCAATTGTTATCAATTCCACAGACACAAAATCAGAAAACAAAGCAACCACTGAAGCCCTATAGTATGTTAAGGTTTCAAACAGAGTGTGAAAGACTCTGGAATTTGGTAATAATAGAAAAAATAACCATATGAAGTACATGATTTGAAACAGATTATGCTCAAATTGTGTCACAAATTCACTAATTTACATAAATGCAAAATTGTTCTGTAACTGTTCTTCTTAACCTAGTAGGACCAAGTGAAACAACACAGTTATTTTAGATACAAAATGAATTATCAGATCTATGACCTAGACCAGAAGTAGAAGGTGAAGGCTGCTGGGAATGTTTGGAGGAAAAATAATTGTAGTATTCTAACTAGACATTACAAAAGAAATCATTAGAATTTAATTACACATTTTACCATCCATTTCACTCTGAATCTTGTTTCTCTCTCTTTCTGCCTCACTCTTTGTTCTTGCTGCCTCCAGTTTGACATTTGTTACTTCCAATTTATGTGAGTGTTTAAGTTCTTCTACCTATGAATTAGGAAAAAAAACCCAAATCAACTAAAATAAATATATGTATATATATTAGCAGCTTTACTGTAAGTTTTTCATGTGATACTCTGCTACCAAGAAAGTCTGTCAAATAGTCATGGACTATGCTTATTTTAAACATACCTTAAATATTTTTTTCATCCACTGCTTTCCTGAAGCCAATCGAAAATATCCACTCCTGTAGATAATTTTTAATGGTGATTCTATAGATACTGTAACACTAAAGCTATTAACATGATCTGATTCCCCAAATCACAATCAGTGCTATTACAGGTTTTTGATTACTGAATGAGTTGTCAGTCATCTTGAAATGCAAGTTTTATATATTCCCCGATTAAAAAAATTAAAGTGCTCAAACACAACATATATTCCAGGAACCAGGCTGTCTGACTAGTGACATGTATTTCATCTTTAACCAGCCAGTTATTACAAGCTACAGCGTAGAAAAGTTACTCTTTTAAGAAGCCTTGGTGATACATGCACGGATGCACAGGATTGCCTGTGAAAACTTGGTTTCTGAGCAAATTCTATGCATTCTACAAGCTAGCCTCCGAATATTGGGGTATTTCTGAAAAGACTACTCATTGGAAATAACTTGCTATGACACTGATCCAAATTGCATAAGACTCTGATGCCTTGCTAACTCAAGCATTAGCATGTCAGTTTACACGTACTTCACTTCCGACTAAAGATCCCTCAGAGTCAAGCTAAAATAAAGCTAACTTTAATCTCCCTAAGTAAAACAAACAGTGATATGCAAAAACAGATTACCAATTGCTCCCCCAAGTAATTTCAAATATTGTGAAAGTGCATGTCAGTGTTATTTTGGAAAGTATATTCAGAAATGCAGGATAACTTTAAGTCAGAGAGGCTCAGATTATATTTCAAATAGTTATAACTACTTATAGTCCCCCTGACCTCCTAGGAGTGCTACACTACTTTCTCAAAATCCAGGTCTTCATAGTTTTAAAGTGCATTTTAAGTCAAATACTTCTCTACAACTGTGACACACACATCAAATGGCCTCATAAAAGCAGGGGCTTTAAGAACATCAAATCAAAGACAATTATTGCTTGCATGGAAACTTTCTATAGTTTAGGCATTTGTATGCAGTAATTACACGGTCAATGAGAATTAAATATCTAGAGGAAAGCATTTATAATGAAAATCCATTCACAATGACAAATGTAATTACAACCTGCTAGCATATACAAGTGGCAAAAGGTTAAGAATGACACAGTAGCTTATTAAGTAACTACATGGTGGATTTGGTTGCTTAAATACTAAGTTGAGAACATTTCAGGGCAACTTGCAAAGATTTAAGGTGGCTTTTTTAAGGCACAAAATCCGGAAGACAAATGCGTGCACCTGTGCTCGGGAACAAGTTTGAGCAGGTGCAGAAGGGGTGGTTAGTATAGGAATCGGTTTCTACTTTCCTCCCTTCAAGGAACACCACTGAACATTTTAATTTCCTCCTACTTCTGCAAATGAGCAGAGAACACCAGTTGATACAAAAAGTAAAGACTTGTAAGAATCTTCTGTAAATTCTGATACACAATTGATTAAAAATGTTTAACGGAAGTTTTCCCCTCCTATCTATTACTCATGAGACACATATGACACATTGTATAAAGAGGCTTTAAATACTGGTATAGGTATATCTTATTCTTATGGTAAATTAGAACTTTTTTGGATTTGAGACCAAAATGAAATACTTCACACTCATAAATGTGCACTGTAAAGCCTGTTTTGAATTAAATCTGAGACAGTTAAAGTTTTCTTCCTGTATTGAATCTTTCTTGAGGCATATTATGACAATATTAACTGCTGTACCCATACAAAGCGCATATCAGTGTTATTTTGGAAAGTATATTCAGAAATGCAGGATAGCTTTAAGTCAACAGAGAGCTTAAAATAATTCTGCATTCAGCTAGATATACAAGACCAAAGTTACTGGCTTTACAGTTGGTTCAGAACTAATGCCTCTCCAGAAAGGCAAGAAAACACAAGGGATTAAATTTGCTACCACGAACTGACAGATGTGATAAAAATTTATTAACCAGTATTCTCTCCAGAAAGAAGGGAATAAGAGACAGCAGAAAGGTAGTATTTACCAAAATAACTATTTCATTAGGAGTAGATCCTGACTCAAATTTACATAAAGCAATGTTAAGTATTCTGCAACACTTGAAGGTAAAATGGTTTACTAGTGTTTCGATTTTTCTTGTTTATTCACATAATCACATATGAAATTGCATAAAGGATCTGTCTTTTTTGTGTAGCTGAGGAGTCACTGCAACCAAATAGAACTCTGAATCTGGCATCCATACTAACCTAATTATGCTGAAATACTAAACAGTGATGTCAAGTTTCTTAAGCACTTTCAGATTTTTCCCTAAACTTGAAGCCTTCTGATCTTTTTTTTAAAAAATATATTTTTCTAGAAATTTCTACGATGTTAAAAAAAAAAAGTTAATTTAAAACTCTACTGCACTTTACACACTTTATGAAAAAGCAATGCTTGTTTCCATGAAATAAGGCTGGCTATTTTCATGAGTACTAAAAACATGAATATAAAGACACCTCTTCGAGCCACGTTCTGTTTAGAAAAAAGGTCTAGAAAATTAAATAAAAAGAGCATAACCTCAATCTTTAGAGATACTTTTAGGGATGATGTTTTTCCTGTAAAGTCATGTATTCGGTATCTTCCAACTGAAATTGGGAAAAAAATTCCAAACCTATTTTAAGTCACAGCAAAAGACATTGTTACTTTATTCTTAATGTAAAATATAAATGGAAAACCTTCAACGTAACAGGATACGAAAACTGTACTTCGGATACCATAAAAGCACTTACTTTAGCAGCTAAGGAATTGACTTCTCGTTCAGATTTGTGAAGTTTGCTAGTTAAGAGAATGTTTTGCTCATGACTCATCCGCAGTTCTTTCTCAATTCGATCAATCTGTAGTTCAGCAGACTTCTTTTCTGCCTTGAATAAAGGAGGTATTTGTGAGATTTTTGGAGCAGGGCTGTCTCTTGCTATTCACTTGAAAGATTCAACTGATCTGGGCTTTCAGATATTACTGACCCTTCATATTATATAATAATATAATAGGTAAATATTTATCTTTGCTCAACAATATGTTCCAATACAAGAAGGGTCTTGAATTTTACTCAAAAGTCACAATTGGTTTTACTAACACTGCCTGCACAGAATCACACACATTTTCAATCCTACTTCACAGGAGGCAGAGGTAATCTGACTTGGTTAGGAGGCAGCAGGTATTCCTACCAGTAAATTATTGGGCTGTAAACACCAGTATGACTATAAGTGGTGCTCAAAAAGATGTCATATGTTGGCCTACGCAGTTATACTACCTGAGGAATTTACATCAAGGAGAGGAAATAAAATGCAGTTACTGTGAGTATGAGAGATGCAAGACTCTGAACTTTACTAAGTATCAAAGATAATCTAACCTACGATTTCACCTTCCTTTTTCCAAAATGACCTATTTCCAGTAGAACTTTTTTTAAAGTTTTCTAAATTAAGAATATTACAGCACTTTTTTTTTTACGTTGTGATCAGAGCATTTTGTAACAAAGGTATATAGCACTGATAACAGTAAAAAGGAAAATGAACCACCTATCTGTATGCTGCAACTGTGCAAGAAATCTACATGGAAAGACTCACGACCTAGAGAGATAGCAAGAACTGACAGGAGGACCGAAGACCACAGAAGAGGAATACAGTGGAACCCTGGGAAACATACAACAGGCCAGAAATACCAACAGTTCTTTAAGGGAGAGCAACAGCCAAGAACTAAACAATTGCAGTAATGTCTTGGAGAGAGGACAGACAGAGGTAGGCAAGAAAGAAGACGACACAGGAGGAAAGGATTAAAGAAATAGGGGAGCATCATATGACATTTTTTAAAAGAATAAAAAATTTACTGTAGCAGATTATTAACATACTGTCATCAGTTTCTAACTCTAGCCAAGTGACAAGTGTTGACATGGCATCTGACTGCAAACATAGAGACCACTCACATGTTTAGAAAGGAGACCATTCAACAGAATCTCTCAGTTGAGCTGTCCACCTTTCCAAAGTTGAATTGGCAGTACATGACTCCCAGTGTACCTACAATTTGGTTTTAAATCTGAAATGTACAATTTCAAATTGTGGAGTCAATGGCAAAATTATCAGTGACTTCAGTGACAGTTCTATCAGGCCAGGCATTATTCTCACTACACTCTACAAGGAGGCAAAATCTAAAAAAAAAAAAAAAAACAAAAAGTCTTACCTCTAGAGACCTTGCCGTGGCCTGCATCTCAGCTAACTGTCGCACTTGTACTCTTTGAACATTTTCTGCCTGCACACCACAATTGTCTCTTTCTGCTCTTAGTTCTGCTACTTCTGCTTCTAAGCCTTTTAATTTCTGATACAGTTGTGCCTTTTCTCGAGAGAGTGCCTCCACGCGTTTACTGTCCCTCGTGGGATCAACACTAAGCAGATGATTACGGAGTTCTTCTTTATCTTTATCCAGCCTTGCAATCTGATAGTTGTTAATCAGAAAAATAAAAGCTTTTACACTGGTTAGGTGTCAGGCAGCAACAAATACAGCAGTTGACAATTCAAGTTGACAAAAGAGCAGCAGTGTGCATTTAAAATATTAAGAAATCACATTCACGTTTATTTTCTTTCTTAGAGTAGGAAAATCAACAGACCCATTCTTCAAGGCCTTTTTTGTTTCAGTTTTCACTTATAAGGCTTGTCCTTGGGCCTCAGATGTCCCTGAGCCCCCTAGCAGTCTGTGGGAGTAAAGCCGTACCCAGAGGAAGAAAATGTTAGGGATCATTTAGTCCACTGGACACACACAAGTCCTTGGAATGCATTCAAGCATTTTGAAGGAGCTCACTGGTATCATTGTAAGGCTATTCTCTATCATCTTTGAAAAGTCACAGTGATCAGAGAAGGCTCCTGATGACTGGAAAGAGGCAGTCAGCTTCACATCAGTCTCTGTGAAGGTTATGAAGCAAAACCTCTTGAAAGCTATTTCTAAACGCATGAAAGACAAGGTGATGGAAAGCAGAGTTTACCAAGGGCAAATCATGCCTGACCTACTTCTCTGCTTTCTAGAAAGAGGTGACTGGCACTGCAGACAAGGAGAGGGCAGTGGATCTTGTACTCCTTGATTTTAACAAGGCCTTTCATACAGTCTCCCATAATCTTCTCTCTCACCAGACTGGTGAGATACAGACTGGAAAAGTGGATGATAAAGTAGGTGGAAAACTGGCTGGGCTGCTAGGCTCAAAGAGTGATGATCAGTGGTGCAAAGCCCAGCTGACCACCTGTAACTAGTGGCATCTTTCCGAGATCAGTACAGGGTCCAATACTGATTGATGTCCTCATTAGTGACCTAGATGATGGGATGGAGTACACTTTCAGCAAGCTTCCAGGTGACACCAAATTGGGGGAAAATGGTCAATGTCCTGGAAAGCAGAACTGCTATTCAGAGGGATCTGGACATGCTGAAGGAATGGGCTGACTGGAACCTCTTCAATAAGAGCAAGTCGTGCATCTGGGATGGAGTAACCCAATGCAACAGTACAGGCTGGGGGCAACTGTCCAGGAAGCAGCTCCATGGCAAAGGATCTGGGGGTCCTAGTGGACAACAAGTTGAACATTAGTGAGCAGACTGCCCTTGCAGCAGAGATGACCAACTGCATCCTGGCAGATTGGCAGAAGGATAGCTAGCAGATCCAGGGAAGTGATCCTTTGTCCCTTTCCAGTACTTGTAAGACTGCATCTGGAGTTTGTATCTAGTACATGAAGAATAATGACAAACTGCAGCAAGTCCAGTGGATAGCCACCAAGATGGTCAGTGCGTTGGGGAACATGACATATAAGGACAGACTGAGAACTATGCCTCTGCAGCTTGAAGAAGAGAAGGAGATGCATAGTTATGGGAAGAGAGGCAATGGACAGAAGTTGGAACATGTGAAATTCCAATTAGATATTAAGAAAAAAAGTTTACCATGAAGATGGTTAAATACTGGAATATTTTGCCTGGAAAGGTTGTGGAATCTCCATCCTCGCAGATGTTCATGACTCAACTGGATATAGCCCTGAGCAACCCGATCTCATTACACTAACATATTATATTACATTAACATATTATAACAAACATTAACATGTATTAACATATTATAATATGTTGACCAGCGGGGTTAGCTCAGTTGGTTAGAGCGTGGTGCTAATAACACCAAGGTCACAGGTTCAATCCCTGCTTACTGCAGGGGGGGGTTGGGCTCGATGATCTCTCAAGGTCCCTTCCAACCCAAAGCATTCTATGATTTTATGATTCTATGATTCTATAATAAACATATATTGTAAACATATTCTATAGATTTCTAGTGTTTCAAAGTTAGTTATGTGGACTGAATGTAATATTGGGGGCAAAAGGGTGAGAAAGTAAGGTAGGTAAGAGTTCTCTTGACATTTAAACACTAGTCCCGACTCTGACCTGCAGCAGTGCTTCCTCTATGGAGGAAAGCCAATTTCTGCATCAAAAGCCCTCCAAATCTCTTTTATGAGGAGATTCAAACACTTATTGCATGACATGCCCATGCAATCATTTAAGAATTAGGAAGTTTTTGTAGCCTTCTTGTGCTAAATAGCATGGGAAGTTAAAAAGGCTCTAAGAGGGAGAAACTAGATCACATTGCACCCTGGGCTCAAGGTAGTTTCATTCTCTGTAAGCGTGCTAATCAGCTGTGGGACTAGCACAAACTCAACAAGCCCACAAGAGAGGCAGGGTGTAAAGCAGCATGTGGGTTTAGCTCCAGGAAGGACAACTGTTCTGTTTTTAAATGCATTGCATTTCCAAATTTGGATTATTTCGAAAGTGAGGATTGCCTTGATTTGTCTCTCATGTTTGGACTAATACGTTCAAATCTGGCATCTTAGGATACATGATCCCAGACAAGTAGCTAAATGAATATGCAAATGACACATGCAACACTCATTTACACTGCTGCATATACTTAAAACATAAATAAGCTGGCAATTTATTTAGCTACACTTTTGAAAGTCCAGTTCTGAAATAGAAAATTAATGAATGGTTTATTCAAGAGTTAATACAACTGAAAAAGTTACCAAAGTTTTCGGTATCCTTTTGACTACCACTGTCATGATCCAATTTGCAAAATGTACCCTTGTCTGGTATCTTCTGCTGCCTTCTTCTTGGATTAGTTGCCACATAAGTAATTTAAAATCTAAACTTACATCTGTTGCTCAGATAACTTACTAATTTCAGATTAGCATAATGTCTCAAATTCCATCACAAATGCGATTAAAAAAAGCATTAAGCAAAGCTTCTGGCTGTCATTTATCAGAAGGCAAATCTTTTCTTACTTATAATAACACAAATGATATTGCGACACACCACTGAACAAACCTACAGAGACAGCTTTAGGCTAAGTCATAAAAGTGTTTTGAGAATTAAGAGAATGGAAACAAACACTACATTATGAAATGGTGTCAAACTGACAACCCATCAAGTACCAACATTTTCACAATGTTCAGGCAGCTTTGTCATCAGATACATTTTAAGCTACTGTAACACTATGTACCTCAGCCTCATATTTTATTTTCTTCTCTTCTAAAATACGTGCATGTTCTTCCTTTTGATGTTCAAATTCTGATTTCAGAAAAGTATGTTCATAACGAAGTTTGTTATATTCTGTTCTGTATTTTTCCACTTCCTAAGTTAGACAAAAAAAACCAAAAACATCAATCAGAGAAGTTTTCAGATTTATTTCCTTCAAATGTCCATGCAATGTTCCTATCATTTCACAAGTTACATCCGATAAACTGAATCTCTCCTTCTCCCTCTTCTAGGGTTTCAACCTTCACTGCCTGGGGCAACAGTACCAGACAAAGAATGTCATACTTTGCTCACCTTTCAGTTTTAATTTCCTAAGGTTTTAGGAACAACTACAAACTGGTGATCACTACTCTAAATGCAATAGAGTTTGCATACTTACTACTTACATTTTCTAGCTTCCGATAACGCTCTGTCATAGGAGATTCCAATTACTGCTGTATTTGTGCTTTTAATAGTTCTAATTTTTGAGGAGTCAGCACCTTAAGACAGAAAGGTATCATAAATAACTAGTCATATTCATTTATTTACACTGTGATAGGACAAATAGCCAGGAATAAAGTATTTAAAACATGATTTTAGGAATCCTGCTTAATTTTCTATGTTTTTCTAAAGAATTTTCAATAGTAGTTACAGAAGCAAAAACCCATGATATTAGTGAACTAAAAATATTCTAGGAAGGTAACAGAAGCATTTTAAATGCCAGTATCTACTGGTAGAAGCAATACAAATGTCAAGCTGAATTGCCAAGAGATTTATCTCCTTTGTGGGGGAGTGGGGGAAGGAAAAGTGGTCTCACATAAAAGATAAAGAATTAGCATTTGGAAAAACTTAAACAGTAAGTGAACCAACCCCAAAGAATCAAAATGAGCAATACCAAACCAATTCTTTGTAAAACACATTAGGTACATGCTCTCCAACAGATACATGGGTACTGGTTTGAAATGAAACTAAGATCAGAAAAGATTCTCTGCCTTAAGCTCCATGCTGCATGGTATTTTGTGAAGTTTTCTTGGGTATGGTTAATACAGCAAACTATCTACCAAGAAAAATGTTAAAAAAAAAATTCATCCACAACCTGTGACATATTCTAATTTATTCTACTTTTCTTCCACTTATCTGTACCCTGAAGTCCCTGAAAACTAATTCTAGTTATGGTACCGAGGCACATCTCCTCCATTCGGAGTCTGGGATCCTTTGTTAGATGCTATATTTGTTTCCTAAGAACTCATCCTGCATTAGTTTAAGGAAACAAGCAGTTATAGAAAGTGTCATCCAAATTATCTTAAAGGAGGGGATAGGGTGGGGGGGTGTTGTTTTTGTGGTTTGGGTTTTTTTTAAATGAAGAAAGCTGTCATTATGAAGAAAAACAAGTATCTATTTTTCCAATCACTTATCCTAACAGGTTTAGGCATCTAAGTTATCCGCCAGAGCACGCAGACAGAGAGTGAAGGTCTTACTATTGACATAGCACGTAACAACAGGATTTGGAAAATTCAGTTAAACAAGAAAACAGTAATTTCAACCCATAGTCACTCTAGAGAAGAAACATTACTTGGGTTGGGTGAATTTCAAGATATCTGAAATATATTCAAGCTAGGTATATAGAAGTTACATAAACACAAATATATGCATGGCCCTATTACAGGATTAAAATTCACAGAGTCCTGCCAGTAAACTATCTCACCTGCATCTTCAGTTTTTCCAGCTCTTGTGTTTTACCCAGCAACTCCTCTCGATATTCAGCAAGAAGAAACTGAAATTTTTCATGTACAGTCTGCTTTTCAACTAACAAACGCTTCAGTTCATCTTGTGATTTTGTGTATTCCTCCTGTAATCTGCAAGACAAAATACGTATTTATTTTATATTTACCCTCTAAAATTAGATCCTAAAGCTCAAAAAACTGACATGCAGCAGCAAACATACAAATACCAAGTAGGAAATAAGCTATTAATATCCTTTTCCTGTAATATACTGAAAAGTTATCCCATGTTTACAAGCATAAAAAGTATTGCAGAAACATAATCTGCAATGTCTTAAGGTATTTTGAACTGTTTATTTTCTAATATGAACAATGCTCAAATCTGTCCTTAAATACAGAAATAGCTAACACACACACAAATCCCTTCCACCCAACATTTAGCTTCACCTTTTAACAGCTCAAATGAAGAAACCTGTTTAAATTAGTGTACCTTAGATGTTCTGCCTTTATAGTTTGATAATTTGCTTTATGGTGTTCACATCGCATTTTTTCATCAATCAGAAGTTTTTGTAATTCTTGTGAATTAGCTGTATCACCATTTCCAGCCACGGGAGGAAGGAGACTGCCCAAAGCATCCATTTTGTGATGATTATTCACGATGAATATGAAGATGACAAACCAAAAATTAACTTATAGCTAATCTACAATGCCATCCACTTTTTTTGCTGACATCCCAGAAGATCAAGTCACCTGAACAAATACAAGGGCATGTAATTAGCAATCAAGTAAATTCACAGTTCAAAGATTTCACACGCTGCTTTTGCTTTCAGTACAGCAGTATAGAAGAATCCTGGCTCTGCTGTAACTCAGGTTAGAAACCTCTACTGAAAGGGCAACTCTTCTCTGCTCATTCTGCCTGCCCTGAAAAGTAATAGCCCTTCCAGTGCCAAAGAGTAAACTTAAACACAGAAGTTATTTGAGTCAATACAAAATAAGCACAAGCACTTCTATTTGACGGATTACATGAAATGTTATTTTTACTCATACTGTACACTGAGAATCAAACTATGATGCTAGTAATGCCCTAATTATGCCTTGTTAACCAGAGTTCAAGCAGAGGCCACAAACATCAGACACATACAGTTTACAGTAGTAAACTACTACTTATCACAGTCACAGTCTGTCACACCATCCTAACAAGTTGTACTATTGAATACACCATCATTTCAGCTGTAAGAAGAGCAGATAATTCTCACTGTTGAACTCCTATCAAGCCCGCTCTGGAGAAGAGTTAAGGTTTCATGGACAGTCTGGAAGATACCCGCCCAAAGTTCAGCCCTAAGATATATCATTGATGCATGTCACTTCCTCATTTTCAAAGTTTATTACGTGAGTTCTTGTGACCTTTCCAGAAAGAGTTTTGCGAAATGTGACAATATCAGATCAGTGCAAGAAAGCTGCAAATCGACAGACGCTGAGAAATGGGAAGTATTCTAATATGCCTCATCAGTTCTTTTCAATATTAGAAGCAAGGTGTATTAATCTGATCATTACTGACACTTCTAAAGTATCTGGGGGAGGGAGGACTGTAACTGAATTTTAGGGAAGTTACAAAGCTTTGAAACGAACTACTTTGCCATTTTAGCTTTTGGCATAACTGGACTGATGCCTAAAAGCTCCACTGTTGCAGTGTACAAGGTGTAATTCAAAGTTACAAAGTGTAACTTTGTACAAAGTAAAATGTAAACAGGAAAAATGTTAAATCTCCACCATCACTGCAAATACCTCATCTTCTTTACATATACAGTTGAATATATAATGTTTTCTACTTTTTCACTCTTTAAATCTTTCACGGATCTATCTTAAACACTTACCACTTGATTTTATAAGCTCCTGAACTATAAGCAAGATGAAAATCTGTCTTCCATATAGGAAAATAAACATTGCATGTCAGGGCCCATTCCACTAAAAGACATAACAATGTCAAGAAAGCCTTACATTTAAGTTTTCTTTCCCATTTTTCCTTCCTCCATCACGAAGATGGGAAAAGGTCAGAGGAGAATCTACCAGAGTTACAGCACTAGCATAAGCAAAGCGGCAACAGCAACTTTGTATTCTGCTTTACCCAAATTTGCTGAGAGAATAAAGGGGAAGAAATCAGAATAAAGAACGTTCTCCTCAGTGACTGTCCTATATGCACAACTAATTTCAAACATTAATAGCAGAAGTTCTGAAGAACCTTCTAATCAATACAGTATCTATTTTTCATTGCTGAATTTTGTTGGTTGTGAGAAACAAAGGACAACAACGATTTCCAAACTCAGTATAAAGACAGCTGTTAAAACCAACAGCTGTATGAGGAGAACTGGTCAGTGATCCTAAGGACAATAAATCATGTGAGAGGACAGAAAGTTCTGGTACACAGAGAAAACCCAAGGCAGCACATCCCTAAGAATTTCTAAGTATACCAACAGAGTTATCATGATCACTGGGGAGGAAAAAAAAAAAACCAAAACCCAACAAACCAAAAACAACCAACCAAAAAAACCCAAACCACCAGGCAATAGGACTTTTCTCTCAGGTCTTTGCTTTCATAAGCTACAGATACCAAAGGTAACTATCAAACTGTAAGCCAAAGCTCAGAATTAGGAACACAGGATTTAAAGTCGGGTCTGAATCCTGCAGCTTACTTGAGTAAGAAGTATTTCTGAAGTGGTATAACAGATATAAAGTCAAAGACACCAAAACACCACTGTGTTTTCTGAGAGCATATAAACCAAAAAAAAAAAAAAAAAAAAAAAAAATAAAAGGAAAAAGGTTTTAAAAAAAAAAAAAAAAAAAAAAAGATAAATGGAAATAGGTTTTGTATTCTCAGTTCCAAGCTGCTGCAGGTGGGAAGTATATCTTCTCTTCACAGCTTTGGCTACTATCAAAAAGTGCACAAATTATAAAGCAAGACACTCACCTTGCCATGTATTCATCTGCATGAAGATGTCATGAAAAAGAAAAAAGGAAAGAACAGAGGGAAAAAATTGTAGCTTATGAAACAATTGTTTCAGACTGCAGAAACCTAAGCACTATGTATTTAAGGAAACAAAACTATTTTGGCTTGCAGGGACATCTAGTGGCATATTTTGTGACTTGCATTCCTGGTGACGACTGTGAAACAAACTACAGTAACATAGAAATTTCATTACTTCACAACAGCTCTTTCCTTGAAATCATTAATAGCAACTTGTAATATTTACCTACATACATTCTTACAAATAAAAAACTTTCCCCCCCCCCCAATCATAAAATAATTCCTGGCAGTGAATTGTCAATAGTCAACATTGTTTAGGGCTATAAATATTGTAAGTATATTATTAACAAGAATTTCTTCTGTGCTAATGGCTTACAGTGCTTGCTCATAGTCCATGAGCAGACCTTAAATAATCTTCAAAATTACACAAGACTACACCCATAATTTTTGAGAAATACTTTAAAGGAACACTAGTTAAAATTTCTTCCTCTCTTGGAGATCTGTTCAAGAAGTAGAGAACCATAAAACATACTTTAAAGAAACTAAAACCACATCATATCTAAAATTAATCATCCACCTACATATTTGCCAAATTTTATCATGTTACAGAACTGCAAACTTCTATCAGTTGTCCCAAATTCATACTATGAATTCTTAACATCACTTTGTGCAGCTATACATAGAAAGGTATTGGTACAGAGTCCTGAAACCTAGGAAATGCACACTCCATAGTTAAAATAGCAATATTTGTTGTAGAGTATCTAGCTAAGTGAAGTAACTCAACTACATTTCCAAGAATCACCTTTGGTTTGCCTTTCTTCTCCAATTGTTTATTTTCATACAGAGAGAAACATTGCTTGAAGACCTACTTCACATCTCTCCTTTATACCCACACACCATGAAAGGGCTTTTCTTCTTTTACAAGATTTTTCAGCTGTATTATTTTAACTTTTTGTTTGCTACAAGCACTTAAAATGAGAACACTTGCATTTAGAGAAAAACATGAAGTTATCAATATAATTTTATTTATTTATACTACAATTTTTATTTTTATTGTATGTTGTTTACAACAATAAAGCTTCCTTCTAGCTTACCTGGCATAACCAAATTACGTGATTTCAGCATGTATTGGTAATTCACCTGGGTGACATATATAACTCACTCATGGCTCTCCTTTCCATACCACACACAAACATATCATATTTGAACACTGTTTTAAACAGTTAGATGATACAATGAATGTAATTTTGCAACTATTGATGAAAAAATTAACAGTATTTAGCCTTGTGCCATGTTTTGTTCAAGGAGTAAAATTCTCAGTAAAATCTGTTTCACACAGTGTATGGTTTAATCTTTTCTTTTTTTCTAATTGAATCAGCCAAGGTCTTGTGAAACAATAAACTATTTGCCTGAAAGAGTGAGACACTCAAAGGAAGAACAGCCTCATGAAAGTGACTCTTCAAACACTACCCCTTCTCATCCCTGCTTAAGAGTCTACAGTAAGACTAGATAATGAACTAATGAAAAAGTGTAATCCAATATAAGAGCTCACTGTCTCAAGGAATAGAAGGTTCCACTCCTCCTTTCTTCATCCCCATTCCTAGATTTGTCATTCATCAGACCCTTCCATGAACTGATTTAACTAAGAAGCCAACACACTTAAACAAGCAGAAAACACTCAATAGTTTTTCTGTGAGGTCAGTGAGTCACGCTAGCTCATGGAAAAATCCAACAAGCTACAGCATCAGTGAAAGTAGGCAGCTGGTACTGGCTAAGATAAAGGAACAAAGAGCCAAGTAAATAGGCAGGAGGATGAGCAAGGCTTTTTCCTTTCGGGAGCAGAGGGTTGTCACATCATAAGCTCAGATGTTCACAAAATCACAGCCTTAGACTACATACCTAGCTTTTAGACAGTCACAGTTAAGCGCAACAAATCCTACCTTAAATGACTATGCAACACACTCATGAGAGATCAGACTTTCCATGAACATCAAGTGAATAAAAACCAAAACAAAACTATTTAGAATTTGAGAAATATGATAGCATACCTCTCATTACTGTAACAGTCCATATTCTACTAATCCACCATCAGCAACTTGCAACAGCCAAAGTAATCACCTTAAAAAAAAAAAAAAGGGGGGGGGGAATATTAAAGAAAAACATGAAAACCTTTATTACAGGAAGTTCCATGATCTGGATACTGCTCAGATATCACTGTAGAGAATCCAATGAAAATAAACACTTAATACCTTTATGCGCCTAAGTGCAGAAGTTTTGGAGAACATCTGTATGACTTCTACATTACAGAAGACATCAACCTCATTCAAACTACTATCACTTCCTCCACAACACTATTCAAAGTACAAATTCCAACAACAACTAAGCATGCATTATTTCAGTGTCCATCCCTACACATGGCACACAGTTCCACCCCTTCCATTTCTGTCTTAGACTAGAGATACGGTTAATTATTAGGTGAAAAGCAACAAACAAGGTTATATCTTAACTCAGGATTAAATTTTCTGCTTTAGGCATATACACCAGTAAGTCAAACTGACAGCAATTACTGATCAAACTGAAGTTTTGTATGGGAGCTACCATTGGTAAATGTAGCTGT